AAAAACAATACAACTTCGTTGTTATGACGTCGTTATTATGACGTCACAAAGGCAGCGTTATACATTAGCACAGGTAAATGTCAAAAAATCGCTAAATGTGTATAGAGGTAAACACATTTACATTATAATAAATTGAACCATTTCTTTAGAGCTAAAATGTTCAATTTACATTTAATTTAGGCTAAAATAATTTAACAAAATAATCTTCCTTTGCCCTCCGTTATTGTTCGTTATCTTCTGTGATTTTATAAAATGGAAATATCAAAAAGTTTCCATTTGCACATGAATCAAAATGTTCACTGCAAGGTGTATTCCTGACGGAGGGGTCTCGTATTTGTTGTTTATGGACTCTAACACGGTCAGCTAGTTTGTTTCCGGTCTGTCCAATATAGTTTTCCCCGCATCAAGTATAAGTCATACAGTAAACACTGTGCCGGATAATTATGCCACTTCAAAAGTGGCATTTTGGCGCCCGCCAAATCCTCATTTCACATAAAAATCATGTATACCAAGTGGTAGACCATCACTCACAGAGTTCATAACTACCTTTGTTACAAGTAAATATCACCTGTCAGGTGAGATAATCACCTTTGAACAAAAAATTCCCATAGGAAAAATAAAGTTCCTATTGGAAAATTAAAATTCCTGAGGGATATTATCAAAATCCTGCAGGATTTCTTAATTTCCTGTGGGATATTTGAGAAATCCTACAGGAAATTAAATTACTATGGGAGAATTTAATCTCCTGTAGGAATACAGTTTCCTATAGGAGAGAGAAAAAATCCCTTAGGAAAAATATATCCCATAGGATTTTTTAAATTCCTGTAGGATTCTCTTTTTCAGTCAGAAATTCCTGTATATTAAACTTCTAGTTTAACTTAACCTATACCATGGACTTCTACAACAGTTTCCATATATATATATATATATATATATATATATATATATATATATATATATATATATATATATATATATATATATATATATATATATATATATACCTTTTCACAGTCTCAGCAAACCAAGTTGAAGCTCACGTGCTTAAAACGTTACAATTCAAAACATGTCCAACTAAGCAGAGCGTTAATGTCTGTGTAATTCCTATACTATGACACCACTGATGACATTCTACAGTGATATATATATTTTATATACTTTAAAATATCTTTTGATACACCCGAATGTTTTACTTAGTTTTTTTTCTATGATAGAAATTGTTATAACAAGAGCAAATATATTGATAAATAAGCAATAATTCTTAATCAAACCCTTTAAAAAACGATCTACCTTATCAACTGGCAAAGAAAGACAATTTCATAACAAATCTTCGGGTAAAAACAAAGCCTTCAAAAAGTTACTGTTTGTTGATCAAAAAATGTGTAAGGACAACAACCTCTCTAGTACTTTATTCTAATGCAATTGTTTTGTAAAACACTTTTTCATTGGCTAATGCACTGATGTTTGAAGCAGTAAAACGAGCATTAACGAGCGTGAAAGCTTTTTCATTGTGACGTCATAATAGAGCGACGCAAAAATACAATGCTCCATGACGTATTTCATGTAACAAAATTCATCAAAATAAGACTAAACAACAAACAAAATGCATGGATTGCATTAGAATGGGAATAACTAATCTTCTGATTTGGTATTTGCGACCGTTAATGCTGATTTAACGGTCGCAAACATCCGTTTTACCGGCTCCGCTTACGCGTCGCCGGTAAAACTCAGTTTGCGACCGTTAAATCAGCATTAACGGTCGCAAACACCAAATTAGAAGATAGTTATTCCCTAAATCTACAAAATATATCATAGAAATGAAACGTTGAAATTTAATAAGTAATTGAATATTTATACGAGGGTTGATCCAAAAGTAATGTCACAACTGCGATAAAATTAAAAAATGACCTTTACCAATCTAGTAAATGGATGACCTTTGCCAATCAAGAAAAACAATATTTTACAACAATAACAATTTATTTACAAATGTACAAAAATCAGAATAGAACTCGGGCTCCGGTGTAGCGCATAGGTGAACCTCGGACATCAGCACCACGTGTTCCCGAATACGAAGAACCATATGCTTGGTATCCCCCCACATGTTGGCCGGAAGTACATGTCATCACCGGAAGTGTTCATCGGACTAAGAAAGTTCCCTCACAACGTAGTTAACTGTATAACATCAGGGTAGGCTATGAACAGCAATAAAAAGGTCACCTATTTCAAATATTGAACAACCACATATAATGACCTAATCAATTTAACATAATAAATTCTCATTAACACGCCTAACGTATACATGTGATAAAAACTGTATTACAAATATGGTCTTCCGTAACAAAGATTATATTTAAGTATTTAAATCTATAAACCAGGTAATATACGTCTTGTAGCGACAAAAATGTATACAACAAGCAAATAACTTCGTTTACACAAACTCCTAAGAAAAACAGAAAAATAACACTTACTGGATTGTAGTCACTCACACCCTTATACATGCAAAAACAAAAGGCCTAGGTTTCAAACAGTCCACACAGGATTCAATCGTCCACTCAGGTTCAAATGGTCCACACAGGTACCAGTATCTCTAAGAAATGCATCCCAATATCACACAGCATGGGAGCCGCCCAATCCACTAAGTATGGGTCATAATTTAACACCGTCCACACAGTTTGGTGTCCAGAACTAATCTGACAAACCTGGCCAAAACCCCTGGATAAGTGACTATAAATACATGTATCGTTAAACTTGACAAACAGGTTTACCAACCGATGCCGCAGCTCTGTATGCTACAATTCAGTGACCATCGATGCGTGCAAGTAAAACACTCCAATATGTATGGAAGCGCATTTGGAGCAATATTTACAATATTGTGACAATTCCTCCCTTCCTAAGAACAAAATATATTTTGTTAAACGTAATAAAGTTTTTCTTTTTATTTACATGGAAACTTTACTCCTCACACTAAACTGCAACATGGCGACTCAGGAAATCTGCCCCGATGTTGTCTGCTCCTTTGATTACCTCTGTCGTAAAATTGTAAGACTGCAGGAATAGTGACCACCTCATCAGTCGAGAATTCGCTACTTTCGCCTTCTGTAGATGAACTAAAGGTTGATGATCAGTTTCTATGATAAATGATCTGCCATATATATAAGCTTGAAACTTTTGTAGAGCCCAAATTATAGCAAGACATTCTTTTTCTATTACTGAATACCTTTGTTCTCGTTCAAGCAGTTTCCGGCTGGCATAAGCGATTGGATACTTCTTCCCATCGTGATCTTGCATCAAAACAGCACCTTCACCTTGATTGGATGCGTCTGTTCTCAGGATAAATGTTTTTGTTAGGTCTGGAAGTCTGAGAATAGGACTAAAAAGTAACATTGATTTCAAAGTCTTGAATGCATTTTCACACTGTGGTTTCCACTCAAACTTATTAGGAACACCTTTTCTTGTCAAGTCACTTAAAGGAACTGCTACTGTTGCGAAGTTAGGAACAAACTTCCGATAGTACCCAAGTAACCCGAGGAAAGATCTCACCTCCTTTTTGGTTGTTGGTCTTGGAGCGTCCTGAATTGCCTTTAACTTCTCGTTCGTTGGTTTTATGATGCCTTCACCAATGATATGTCCTAAGTACACCACTTTGGTTTGACCAATCTCGCCTTTAGATGGTTTGGCTGTTAGGTGTGCCTGTCTCAGTCTCTCCAGTACTCTTCTCAGCTCCAGAATGTGATCTTCAAAAGACTCTGTATGAATTAAAATATCATCCAAAAAACATACAGTATGTTGTAAACCCTTTAATATCTTACGCATTAATCTGTTAAACGTTGCGGGGCTGTTCGACATACCAAACGGCATAACCTTGAACCTGTAAAGACCATCCGGAGTCAAAAATGATGTTAAATCACGATCTTCTGGTCTCATGGGAATCTGCCAGTAACCTTTACAGAGATCAATTTTGGAAAAGTATCTACTTTGGCTTATCTTTGTCATTAACTCATCGGGATCTGGCATAGGCTCAGCATCAAAAATTGTTACCTTGTTCAATTTCCGGTAATCAATACAAATCCTGTTGCTCCCATCAGACTTCTTAGCTACCACAACAGAACTAGCGTATGGCGATTCTGAAGGCTCAATCACGTCCATATCGATCATACTCTGGATCTCTTTACGTACATTGTCTCTTAATGCGTATGGTATTTGGTACGGTCTGTTACGAATTGGTTCTTCTGTGGTCAAATGGACTTCATGTTGAATGACATCAGTTCTTCCTGGAAGATCTGTCAACACATCTTGATATTCATGTAATAAAGTTTTCACAGATTCAGTTTGTTCAACACTGAGCGATTCATTTACCTTGACATTTCTGTAGGTCTCTGTAGCTACCATTGGAAGATGGTGAAGCAACTGATCATTTCCGTTTTCATCATTTCCATCAGACTCGATCACAACACATGAAGCAAGTTGCGTTGGTACATCACACTGGAAATCATCTCTCACATTGTATTTCTTCAGGAGGTTGGCGTGGAACAACCTGATTTTCCCATTCACGTCAATACGATAATCTGAAATGCCTTTTCTCTCTACAACTTTAAATGGCCCTTTCCACTGCATCAAGAGTTTATTGTTATCGGTAGGAAGTAGAATCAATACATATTCACCAACCTTGAATGATCTGCTTTTCGTCTTTTTGTCGTAGTTCTTCTTGTATCTGTCGCTAGATTTCTGTAGTTCTTTCTTCACCAATTCACACGTACTCGAGAGTCTTTCCTTCAGATCCAACACATATTGGTAAGTACTTTTGACATCTGGCTGCACTTCTTTTGTCCACATTTCCTTCAATATCATCATGGGACCCCTAACTGTCCTTCCAAAGAGAAGCTCGAATGGTGAAAATTTAGTGCTCTCCTGGGGCACTTCTCTATAGGCAAATAGAAGAGCAGGTAAGTATCTATCCCAATCTTTGGGTCTTTCAGAACACATTTTACGTAACATGGATTTTAGAGTACGTTAAACTTCTCCACTAAACCATTACATGAAGGATGATAAGGCGTTGTTACTAGCTGTTTAATTGACAAAAGGCGACTAACCTCTTTCATGACGTTTGATGTGAACTGGGTGCCCATGTCAGTAAGGATTTCTTTCGGTATACCCATCATGCTGAAAATACCTACAAGTGCTTCTGCTACTCTCTCCGTCTCTATGCCTTTCAAAGGAATCGCCTCTGGATATCTGGTGCTATAATCAACAACAGTTAATATATATCGGTTACCTTTTTCAGTAACTGGTGCCATAGGACCTACCAGATCAACTGCTACTCTCTCGAACGGAGTGTCGATCAAAGGCATCTTCTCCAATGGAACTTTTGTCACTTTTCCTTTTGGAAAGGTCCGTTGACATACATCACAGGATTGACAATATCTTTTGATATCACCTTGAATTCCTGGCCAGTAGAAGCTTAATGATATGCGGTCAACTGTCTTCTTCGTCCCTAAGTGTCCTCCCAGAATACTGTCGTGGGCGATGGTCATCACTTTGCGTCTAAGAGATTCGGGAATAATAAGTTGCTTGAATGTTTTATTGTCACTGACCTTGAACGACTGGAAATATCTGTATAATAGTCCCTTGTCCACAGAAAACCACGAAACGATACCATCACCAAAATGTTTCTTCTTACCAGACTTTGCAAGATTTCTGTAGGCACTCAAGGATTCATCAGTCGTCTGTAATTCTTTCATTTTATCCACATTGACATCAATATCTATCGAATCTTTAACCTTAAGTTTCTTCATACCTTTTTCTTCTCTTACTTTCTGACTTCTGGTCTGCACAGCTTGAAGCAAGTGGGTTTCTCTATCTTCTCTTCTTTGCCACAGTGGATCTGGATCAGAATGGTTTCTTACGCCCTCTACATTTCCTATAATGAGATCATACACTGGTTCTTTCATACACAATGCATGTACCTTGCCTACATAGAAAGGAGTATCAACGTCAATGACTGCTTCCTCTACCTGCCTAACTGTACCATCTATCAACACACACTTCTGCACCTTCCCTGTTAACTCGGTATCTTTCACAAGGTCACGTTTAACAACAATTCCACTACAACCACTGTCTCTGAGTACTTTCACATAGCTTTCACCAACATAACCCATTAATACAGGCATAGCATCACATACCTGACAAGCACCACCCACAACTGGAAGAATGTGTCCGCAGGCTAACTTTACCTGACCATTTTCCACGCAGCATTCCATCAGCTTGCATGCCGATCCAACATGAGGCTTCTCCTTTGGACGATGCACACTTTGTTTCGAATAACAGTCTTTCGCAAGGTGCCCTGGTTTGTGACATATGTAACATTTTCTTTCCTTCGTCTGCTGAGGATCAGACTGCCGTTTAGACACCTGATTCTGGTTGCGGTTGCTAAGACCTTTTTGGACTTCACTGGGATATGTTTTCTGAAAAACTTGAACATCTTTCATGAAGGAAGAATAGCCATGTGCTTCAATGAACTGATCCGCAAGATTAGACATATCTTCTACATTTCCTGGGTGTCTTTCTTTTAAAAACATTGCTAAAGATCTGCTACAGCTATTCATAAATTGTTCTCTTAGAAATAAGTCTTTAAGCCCTTCATAAGTCCTGGGACTTTTTGCTAAATTCAACCACTTTTCAACATAGTTATCAATGCGTGCAAAAAAAGTGCGATGGACTCTCACCTTGGTCTGGTTTTGAAGTACGGAACTTCGAATGAAAACCTTCCTCTGTCAACTGGAATCGCTTAAGTAGTGCCTGCTTCAATGCTCTGTAATTCAAAGCTTCAGATGCCGGTAATCTTGAGTAAACTTCCAGAGCTTTACCCTTCAACAAGGCACTGAGATTGATGGCCCAAATAGACTCCTCCCACTTTGCGTTAGCTGCAAATCGTTCAAATCTCTGCAAGTACGAATCAATACAGTCTTTACTCTCTTCAAATACAGGTAACTTTGGAAGTTTAGCACGAGAGTTTGAAACCTGAGCCATTGCCTCAGCATTTACAGCAGTTATTTCTGAATTTCTATATTTTTGCAACTCAGTCTCTCTCTTAATCGTTTCTAACTCAATCTCTCTTTCTATCTTTCTTGCTTCTCTTTCTACTGCTCTTTCATCTCTCTCAAATTTCTCTTTCTCCTTCTTATCTACAAATTCTCTTAAATCTTCACCTGTTAATCCTAATCTTTCTCCTAACTGAACAAACTCCATGATAAATAATAAAGTGAGCACTAACAAAATTACCTCAACACAGGTGCACACACTTCTACAACATGAAGGAAACAAAAGCATCAGTGTAAAAAAAATTACATCAAAGGTAACAAAGTAAAACTTCTCTGATGTGAAAAAAGATACTACACAGGATATAAATTATAACAACTAAGACAACAAATATAATCACTTGATTGAACAAAGAGTCATCCCACCGCTGCCACCAAAATGTCACAATTACCTTTAATTGTGCTAGGTTCTTTTAACAAAATGACCTTTACCAATCTAGTAAATGGATGACCTTTGCCAATCAAGAAAAACAATATTTTACAACAATAACAATTTATTTACAAATGTACAAAAATCAGAATAGAACTCGGGCTCCGGTGTAGCGCATAGGTGAACATCGGACATCAGTCCCACTTGTCCCCGAATACGAAGAACCATATGCTTGGTATCCCCCCACATGTTGGCCGGAAGTACATGTCATCACCGGAAGTGTTCATCGGACTAAGAAAGTTCCCTCACAACGTAGTTAACTGTATAACATCAGGGTAGGCTATGTACAGCAATAAAAAGGTCACCTATTTCAAATATTGAACAACCACATATAATGACCTAATCAATTTAACATAATAAATTCTCATTAACACGCCTAACGTATACATGTGATAAAAACTGTATTACAAATATGGTCTTCCGTAACAAAGATTGTATTCAAGTATTTAAATCTATAAACCAGGTAATATACGTCTTGTAGCGACAAAAATGTATACAACAAGCAAATAACTTCGTTTACACAAACTCCTAAGAAAAACAGAAAAAATAACACTTACTGGATTGTAGTCACTCACACCCTTATACATGCAAAACCAAAAGGCCCAGGTTTCAAACAGTCCACACAGGATTCAATCGTCCACTCAGGTTCAAATGGTCCACACAGGTACCAGTATCACTAAGAAATGCATCCCAATATCACACAGCATGGGAGCCGCCCAATCCACTAAGTATGGGTCATAATTTAACACCGTCCACACAGTTTGGTGTCCAGAACTAATCTGACAAACCTGGCCAAAACCCCTGGATAAGTGACTATAAATACATGTATCGTTAAACTTGACAAACAGGTTTACCAACAGATGCCGCAGCTCTGTACGCTACAATTCAGTGACCATCGATGCGTGCAAGTAAAACACTCCAATATGTATGGAAGCGCATTTGGAGCAATATTTACAATATTGTGACAAACATGATATATACTTTTAAAAATATTGGATTATATACAAATTTCATTTGTGGTAGTCGCCGCAACCTCAATGAAGTCAAATAACAGATACGCGCCGTCACAAACCTGAACGTAAAATTATTCCTTTTCAAAGTAACGGCCTTGGTGCTCTACACAACGCTGATGTCTCTTAACCCATTTCTGGAAAACGTCTGCAAACCATTCTCTGGGTAGTAGAGAAAATACCTCGTTACATGCCTGTCTCAAGTGCTGAAGGTCCTCGAAGTGGGTCCCTCGGAGTTCATTCTTCAGATGCGGAAATAGAGCAAAATCACACGGAGCTAGATCTGGGCTATAAGGGGGGTGAGGCAATTTCTCCATTCCAAGGAGCTCAATTGTTACTACAGTTTCCATTGCCGTGTGCGGTGTTGCACTATCATGATGGATGATGCAGTTACTAAGGTTTTCATAGATATGTCTCCTTTTCTTTCTCAGTACAGTCATAAGATCCCTGGATAAAACCTGGAAAACAAATTAAGCGTGAATTTTTTTATGAAAAGAAGAAAATAATGGGTTTTTTTCTGAATTTGAAAATCTGTTTTAAGAAATGATTATTTCTATATTAATTTTTTATTATATAATTATTTTTAATAATCGTTTGTGAATTAGATACATAAATTTTGATTACTTGTTACGGCTTTTAATTTTAATGATAATTATTAATTAATTAGTCAATTACCTTTGAATAATACGAGGCATTGATCGCTTGTCCTTGTGGCACAGCATGGCTAAGCACAACACCATCCATATCAAAGAAAACAACAAACATGTGCTTCTTGGTGGTTCTGGAAACCCGAGCTTTCTTAGGAGGTGGTGAATCTGTGCTTTTCCACTGGCTTGACTGTAATTTAGACTCAGGGTCATAAAGATATACCCAGGTTTCATCCACCGTAATGATGCGCCTGAGGAATGCTTCTCCTTCTTTTCTCCATCGCCGTAAAAATCTCTCGGATTCACGAACACGTGCACTCATTTCATTTTCTTTAAGAAGTCTTGGCACCCATCGTGCACTTACTCTTTTCATAGATAAGTCCTCCGTCAAAATTCTTTGCACAGTGCCATAGGACAAATTCAAAGTCTCGCTTATCGCTCTTATTGTCACACGCCTGTCTTCTTTCACAACGTCAGAAACAAGTTGAACATTTCCATCTGACCGTCCACCGATAAACAAGTCTCCTATTGACCTTCTTTTCACTATAAGTCTCATTTGTCAAAGAAACAGTCTCTAGTGGCGATTTCCCCATTTTGTAACAGAAATGCATAACAGCTCGTTGCGGCGTTTTTTCCATTTCTGGTATTTCTTTCGTTCAAATCATCGGAATAAAACACAGTGTTAATCATCCAAAATGGCAATGACGTCATTTAATTTTTAACTGAAGACTGGAAAATGACGTAAGTTTTTACTATCGAAAAAACGGGCAATTTGGCGCGTTTTAAAAATTTTTTATCATGTGTTTATCTTTTTATTCTTTAGAAAATAAAGTTCAAAATTAGACGTAACGTTATGACGCGGCGGCACCCCCTATGTCTCACCTTTTAAACATCTATAAAAATAGTTCTATTTAATATGATTAAACCAAAATTTCAATTTTAATTAAATTTTCAAATGTGTATATTTCGGTATATTTTATTTGACAATATGACGCCAGATACCAAAGATGTGGACACAGTGACATTACTTTTGGATCAACCCTCGTAATATAAGTATTTATATGTTATCAAAATAAACTGATCTTTTTTACTTTGAACGTTGTCCTTCGAGCTAGGTTTAGGGTGCCCATTGGAAATATGCCATGAAATATTCCAAGAAAATCAGCATTGTTTTGATATATTTTTATTAGCATGGATTCAAATTTAATTGGAATTGTACAATTGCATACATATGAAGGGGGTCTCAATTGAGTTCGGCCAAAGCGACATTACGTACATCGGTTGTATGTCACATGACATGATTAAAATTAAAAAAAAAATATGTACAGATACAAAACTCGTTAATGTTAAACGATATACTGATAATTTTTAAGCAAGAAATTCATTGAGTTTTCTTTAAGACAATTTCCTATACCCGTAATGTTGTGGGAACAACTTCTCTACGCACAGGAATAATATCAAATGTAGTCGTTTCTTTAAGAATCTCCTGCATTTACACTGGTACTATACACAATTTAAATAATTTAATGTTGCAGAACAAATCAACAGCGCACAACTTGCTCCCAGCACTTTTCAAAATAGCAGAGACAATAGTTGCATATGTACAAAATATCATAATTTATTGTTAATTGCATATCGTTGAAATTTTGAGTTTTTCAAGGGTGTGTACATGTGATTGTATTGCATTTGTGTATAAAAGAGTATAACTGCAACTCTACCATAAAGATATTCGTTATCAATTTAATAAGATTGCATGTGAAATATTACTGAATGCATTCAAAAATATCGAATTTAAGTCAGATCAAGCTTATTTAGTTTTATATGTCACATTTTCAAGTTGCAAATGAAAGCTTGATCTGCGTCTCAAGTGCAGAGAAATTGCGTGTCAAACTAGTCTATGACGTCATATCTGTCAGTACAGCGAGGTCGAGTTGGCTTAAATTTTACACGATACAAACAATGTTTTAATGATAAGATAAGTTACACATTAATTTATTTTAAATTAAATTTACTATAATTTTAATAAAACACTTTATATAAAAGTGTATGGGGAAAAATATTTATTCGCAAATATTCATTTGTGCAGTTTCGCCGTGACGTCATAATCGATTTCGCGAAGCTCTGCATAGGCTGATCTACCTTTGACAGTCCTTAACCTAGCTGCATTCTTCAGCAGAGGATAAATGTATGAAAATCTAATGTTAATGTTTCATTTATCATATTATAGAAATGTTTTTTCACACTTGTTATCCTAATAATACACTTCAATGATTCCGTTTTTATACAACAAAAACTGCTTGCTGATATCCTTGTTTGAAATTAAAAAAAAAAAACACTCATTTCCTCATAATTCCAAGTTTGCTGAAATAAGTTTGAAACACTCACACATCTGGATTCCTAGAAAATAACAACCAGCTGTTGTCGCATGCTTACTATTTTTATGAAGCAACCTAGAATACAATATTTCTTCTAACTTACTTTTATTCTGAATATTTTTAGACATCAGTAAAGATAATATATTAGATATCTTATTTCTTGTTGTCTTTATTATTATTATTGTTATTATTATTATTATTATTATTATTATTATTATTATTATTATTATTATTATTATCCAACTATCAATTTGTTTCGATTATGCTTCTTAAAGTATAACAAACGATTCTTTTTTGAGTCGGATTCTATTGATAAGAAGATCAGCTTAATGTAAAGGTTAATTAAAGACAAATATATTTAGAAGCTTAATCTCAATACAAATTTGATAATTAATTGTACACTAAATGATATTTTTTTTATTTCAAGATTGCTAAAAATATTTTCATATTATCGACATTCAACTCTTGTATACTTTCCGTTCTCTTTTCACAAATAAACTTCCTTCTTTGAATGTGGATTATAAACTTCAACAATTTTATATCCTTGATACTTTTCATACCATATCCATACATTTTAATTGCTAAATATCGACGACAATATATATGTATATATATACATATACATATTTGAATGGTTTAAATTTGTTAAAATTAATCTCAATAACTTCGCGCAGTCAATCATTTCACCT